TGAAGCCATTTTCTCCCTTGGTCAAGTTTTCCGAGGGGTGGCGGGTTGCGTCGAGCGGCGCTGCTCCAGCCGGAGGCCGTCATGGAGGCCGCCAGCACAGCCGGGCAAATCTCTCCGCCAAGCATTAATTGCGGACGAAAAAGTTTGAGGAAAAAATATTGCGAGAAAGAGTCGCGGCGAGATTGATGCGCGGGTGATTTGAATGAGTGACGCGCCGCGAATCTCCAAGGGAGCGAAAAAGCAGCGGATTTTGCTCAAATATATATAAAAAGGCAGAAAGAGTTTTTCAAATGGGTGCGTGATACATCAGTGCCAAGTCGTAATTAATTAAAGTCTCGCGGACGCAAAAACTTTTCAATTCGGCGCTGCAGAAAAAGGACCCGAGATGCGAGGCGCGCGCGTTTTTTTTTATTTGAATAGGGCTGCTGCTAATTACCCTGCCAGGGCCACATCTCGCTTTTGCTCCTCGAGTGTTTTCTCTCAAGTGCAACGCGGCGTTTTGATCTGCGCCGCTCTAATGGCCTCGGTGCTAATGACACGCACATTAATTACCGCCGAAATAAGGGACGCGCTTTTTCCTCCCTCGGAAAAGCAGCCAAAAAAGTCGCTGGCCGATCCAATCCAAGTATGGCAGTGCAATAAAGTGTACATTAGCGAAATGAGAAAAGTTGTGTGAAATTCAGATGAAATAACTGACGACGGTGTCAAAGAGTAATGATGGTTTATTGGTTCGCGGCAAGTTTTGCGGCCGCGCACAAAACTTTACGAGCGCCGCGCCAGAATTTTTAATGAAAAGCCACAGAAACGATTTCGTCGCTGACGGCGGGCACGAACTTTTTCATTTTCCAAATTGCGCGGAGCAAAAGTTTCGCCATAATTTTCGAATTTCGAAACTCAAATTTCGATGAATTTGTGCTGGAGGGTGCAAAAGTTTTACAAACGTTGCAATAAACTGAAAAGGGGCAATTTAGTCCACTTTGAAATGTATTTCTGGGATATGAACTTTGAACTCTGATAATAAAACTTCGATTTTGGCATCCGGAATAACATTCGTTAAATTCCGATGAAGATTAAAAAATAAACCCCATGAAATTTTTACGCTCAAAGCACACAAAGGCTCTTTAAATTTAAATTCACAAATAAATTTTTAATAGGTTTTTACGAGGTTTTACTGAAACTGTGTGAGAAAAAATTGGCTTTAAAGAACATCCAAACCAAGCCAAGTTTATCTTGTACAGTTTCAGTAAAATCAAATAAAAACTCTTAAAAATTAAACCCTGAAACTGATTTACACTTTGCAACGCAAACAATGACACTACTCTACACTAATTAGAACAGAAAAACACTAACTATCTGAGAAATTTAAATAAATGTTTAAATAAAATGAAATAATTTTGAAATTTTTCAAATTTTTGATAAAAATTTAACCTTAAATTCAAAATATTAATGCCACTTTTTTCAAATTCATTTCCTCTTTGGCTTATGAAATTCCTTAAAGTTAATCTAATTCTAATGTCGCTATTTTTAAATCATAGAATTTAATCATTATTACTGATTGTGAGTTTAATTTAATAACTAAAATTAATGAACATGAATATGAATGTGGTTCTAAAAAAAATTAGTAGTAAATTTTATTAATAATAATAATATCCTAAAAATAAAAATAAAACATTTTAATAGTAATATAATTTTGAATTTTATTTATTTTAAAAGTAATGTTTGAGCATAAAAGATTTTTAACTCATTTTAAATTAATTTATTTTTAAATTTCCTGACCAGTATATCAATTTTATGAACTACACCAAAAATGTCCTCACTTGGGCTGTTGGCTTTCGTAGAAAAGTGAGACTGAGCAAATTTCCAACTTTTAATGGAATTAATTGAATTAAAAAATACACACGCAAATTTAAGGTAGAGAGAATTGATAAATATGACAAAATTGCAAATTGGCGTTGATAAGATGGAAATAACTTTTCCGTGTTTAGCGAGAAATTTAATTATCTAGAGTGTTGCTTGGCCATCATCAAAGTTTGCAAGAGCGGAAGGGAACCTGATGCAGAGTGCAATTCGATACGGCTTCGAGCCGGCGAGAATTCCCATTTCAAATTTAGATGCTCGTTATTATTCATGAACAAAGTTCTGCTCCCCTCGGTGCTGCTTCCAGAAAAATTCCTCATGATCCAGCAGCAGCAGCGAGAGCGGTGGCCACCCACACGCACTTTGTATTAATTAAGGGAAACATTAAACCTGCTGCTGAGCAGAGAGAGAGATGAGAATCCTTACATGCAGGCAAGGAACATAAATTTCGGCCGGCCATTTCTGCTTTAACAAACATTTTCACAAGCTGCAATATTTTCCCTCTTAATTACAAAACCCTTTTCCGGAAGGGCCGCCGCGCGCACACACACATAAAAGCTCCCCCTTTTGCGAGGAGCGACCGCAGCCCGGCGCTCCGTTTCTTTTCTCGGCGAGAAAGAAACGCGCCGCTTTTTCTTTTCGTCCCCGTGCGTGCGGTGGCGGCCCGGGGGCGGTTTTCCTCCCTGCAGCCCTGCCACACTCCAAAGCTGCCGCCGCAATCCCCTTTGCTTTTAATGCGACACGCCGGCGCCATTTTGGCTCCGACCCCCTTTATTCCTGCGCCTCTTTATCATAAGAAGAATTGTTTCATTAAGCAGCAGCTGCGTTATATTTTCCAGCCACCCTAGTGAACACGCGCACCGTTAACTTGTCCATATTTTTTACCTCAGCTTCTTTTTGATCACGCGGCTATGCCGGATTTTTGGCAAAGGTCTCAAACGGAAATCACTGTAAATTAAAATCTTTCCCATATGCTAAGTCCATACAAGAAGAAATCGATTTTTGCTGATTTTCATAATGGGACCACCTTAGTTAATTTGCTGGAAAAAATTAACCATCCGCCTTTAGTAGTTATGAAGTAAATGGCAAATTAAATTTTATAATCTATGACAAAACTTGAATCTTTCATAGGACAAAACTTGATGAAATTCTCAACAGCCGCTTAGAGGAGTTTCAATGTGAACAAATTTGGCACCCTCAGCAGCGCTCAATTTATAAATATTTATCCAAATATTGCGGCTTTCAAGTCTTCCACATTTTGACATAAGTTATAAATTTTGTTGTGAGGAGTATTTTTTTATAATTTGGTCATCTCGATCTTTGAATTAATTTTTTTAATGCTAAGAAATGGCCTGATCAATTTTTTTTTAAATTTCACAGCCTGAATTAAAAACGCGGCGAATTTTACGGCGAAGAAAGAAGGGAGGGTCTTTTGTTTGATATTTTTTTTTAACCATTTGAACCATGTAAAGAACTCGAGAGTGCAACAATCGGCCACAATCAAACAATGCACTGATTTGACTAAACATAAAAGCTTCTCAAAAATATTTAAACAATCAATTTTAATGCAACTGTTGCGCATAACGGAAATTTCCTTTTCGATTGTTGTTTTGAATTTTCAACCGAAATTCGCCATTCCACTTTTGAACAGCCGCTGCCGCAGCACGTCTCACCATGAGCAGCAAAAAACTCGGCCCAAGAACTTCAACGGCGTCTTCCTGCGAGAGCTGACTGATCCCACGGACTATATTTGGCATGAGGGTTTTGAAGAAAGCTTGGATACGATTATTTTAGAGAGGCGTACAAAGTCCTGGGTCAGCGAGACAATGGCGAAGATCGGCCTTACGCGGTTCGAGGACGTCGTCTTCAGGGCTGAAGTCCTTGCCACTTCAAAGACTGCTTTTGCGGGGCTCAAGGGCTTCTTCATAGGACGCGCCAAAGATGTCATGTTCCTGAACAACTCGAAGACATTCTCGGGCTGGACAAAGCCAACAGGACACTCAGGCTCACGATGGCAAAGCCCGAGGTGGCTACAGACGTCTTCATCAGGAGCAGCGGCATCCAAAACATCAAGGACCGAGCCTTGCAAGCAGAGATCAAGGCTTGGACTGGCCAAAGGTTGAGCAAATTCAATTTAAATTCATTCAGATTTAAATTTTTTTAAGCCCCAAGTGCTGAACGCATTACGAATTAAGTCTAATTCCTCTGATTTCATCGTGATTTTTAAAACCTTTTTCAAGCTCAATTGTTTGAATTTTCGTAAAAAAAAAAAAAATATGAACTTCGAAAATTTTGACAGAATTCCACGCAAAAGTTTAAAATAATATGAACCGGTTTAAATTTAAATTATTGTTATTATGATTGTTGTTTTTTTTTCAACTGGTTACGTCAAATTGTTTACATTAAGTTGTTGAGAACAATTTTAATTTAAAAAATTGAATTGTTGGAAAAAACGGCACCACCTCTAACAAGAATTTTGCTAAATCTGTCAAGATCAAAAAGACCGCATCCGCCGATGTGAGTCTTGGTCGACTAAGTTTTTGTTCTTAACACTAAAAAATGAATTTAGACGGGCCGGTCTAAAATTTATTTCTTTTTAGATCGGCTTTCGATGAACGCATAAAATATACCGAAGACAATGATTCTTTGGTCGGCCTGGAAATAAATATACAGCGAAAGAGAGCAAGACAAACTTCCTCTCTTGTGTGTTCTGCAGCGTTAATTAACCACCACTCAAAAGCAGCCGCGTGTTTTGCTCTCGGAAAACATTAAATTCCATAATTCAGCTCTCGAGAGCAGAAAGAGAGAAAAACCGCAACGCGCACACAACAAAAGCGAGCGCAGAGAATTCCTCCTCTCGTGTTTCTTGGCGGAAAAAAACCAGAGCACAAAGGCCCGCCTTTGTTCGTGATGATTTTTCTCTTGGAGAATTTTTCCTTAGCTGCCGGGGTGAGTCGAGGGTTGGATCGATGGCACGGACGGGGCGAAACTCGCGCCATTGGCCCGTCGGTTATTCTTGCGCCCCTTCTTCTTCCCTTCGCGCAGCATTTTAAGGGCGAGTCTGCGCCGCAACCCTGCTCTCTCTCGCACGCGCCTCTCTCTTATTTCATCCCCGAATGTCTAATTTTTATAAAATTTCTTACCTGCTGCTTGAGAGTCGCGGCCCGACTCGCGTCCCGTGCGCACCCTGCCTGCAAATACGAATACGTGTCCGAGCTGCTCTCCCTCGCAGCCGCGGCGAATCAATAATAATTCGCGAGCCGCCGACCGAGAGCCCATTTGCGCGCGACACACTCACGACCGCGTGCATTCGCCACCCTAGCACGACCCCGCCCGCCCTCCCACCAGATGCACCCCCCGATGCCAAAAAAAAAAATATATGTCTCTGATTATGTCACGCAAAAAGCAATACCCAAATCATCTTTTGGCTTATAATTAATCCAGCATTTTTATTAATAATTTTGAAATTTTAAACAATAATTTTAATAAATAATATACGCAATAATTATTTATGCATAAAATACTCCAAGACAAAATTTAATAAAAATGTATCCCTTTTTGTAGGTGTATTAATTTTCTTTACATGGACGAAGCTTGCATTTTAAAATTAATTAATATTTGATAATCTGAGTGATTAGAATAATCCACAGAGGAAATGGGCAAGTATTTTGCCCAGGGAGATAGGAATTTTTGTATTTTTACATAAATAAGGTTTATATTTAAAAAGCCATCCCAAAAAGTTGGAATTTCTTGAAAATCTTTGGAACTTTTCATCATTTTTATATTTAAGTACATAGAAGTTAAAAACCTTAGTTTATTTGAATACATCGAACAATTATTTGAGTTGATCATTCTTTTTTTAATGAATACAAAATAAATAAATCATTAAAATTAACTTAAATTTGATTAATACTTCTTTGTCATGATTATCATGCTCTTTCTTAAAAAAAATGGACATTTTTGGATTTTTCTATGAGCAAAGTCAGAAATATTTTAATTGTTCCCATTTTTAAGCAATTTTATTTTGCATTATTTTCTTGCACGAATATTTTTTGGCCCTCTTGCGAGCTTATCAAGGCTCTCTTTGAGCACGGCTGGATCCATTTGTTGCACAGCGACATAATTACGACTTAATTGCGCGACTCATTCACTCGTCGCTGCGACTTTTTATTGCGATGAGCGAGAGAGATAGAAATAGCTTTTAATGGAGTGCAGGGGCGAAATGTCACTTGGCATTATTCAACGAGCGCTCTGAACATATATTTTCCCGTTTGACGCTTTTGTGAGGGCCGCGTTTTCTTTGCCCCATTGACGAGCCAAATTAAAAGTGCTAGCAGAAGAAAAAAAGAGACTAAATCCGAAATCTCGTCGTGTGTTTCAGAGAGAATCATGGAGTGCCCCATCATGAGATTGAAAAGGGCGAATCCGCTCCGGCCATCTAACTGGATTCTGACCAAGAAGGCTGACACGATTGAAAGCTGAGTTTAAAATTCATCGAACATTCCTTTGTTAGAACAAAAAATATTTGAAATAAACGGAGATTTTTATTATAAATTTAATCATAAGTAGTCATTATTTCATTAAAATTGTTTTTTGTTTATTTTTTTAATGTGATCTAAATTTCACTCTTCTTTTTTTATAAATATATTATTTAATTTTAAAATTCCTGTTTCGTAACGACTCTGGTTATAATAATGAAATAAAATTACTATCATTGATTGTTTGGATACATTATTTATATATCTCTTTATTTACAAATTTTGTTGCTTTGTGATGACTCTGGTTTTCCTCATTCTTTATTTATTTCGGCACGTGTTTTTTGTTCACGTTTTTTTTCCATCTCAAATATCCTGTTTCTAGTAATGCGCGCTGATTATACAAATACAGTATATAATAAAAATGACTTAGGCATTCTTTTACTTACACAACTACGACGTTTTACTTACGATGATTGTTAACTCTATCAACTACATATTATTCCATCTCTTGAAAATTGTCTACACATTTGGGCGCCAAATGAACAAGCACGAAGAGAACGTTTTCCAAACACACTGCGCGCGGAGTAAGACATTGATGACATCGTCACAACACCAGTTACATTTTGTTTAAATTTTTTGTATTACACTTCCTGCCATCAAGTACGAAGAGAGAACAACAGCGAAGTTGGATAGAAGTTACAGAGAGTTTGAATATGTCTTGTTAACTTGTCAATCTCTCTCGCACGGCCCAACGTGCTTCTTTTCTCTACATATTAAAATTTTGGTTATTGCCATCCCAGATATGTGTTCGAATCGAGCTTAAGACCAACTGAATCAGAATTTATATAAATGAGCGTGTCAGTTTTTTTTCTTTTTAAATTTGAAAATTAACTAATTTGGCCACTGAAGATAAAGCAGATTTGTATGGCCAGTCGGAAAATATCGTTAAAAATGGGAGACGGAAAATGCGATTATCATTCAAAGTCTGAACTGTGAACAGTATCGGCTCGCACTCATCCTAACTTTAGTTTGTATATCAATGATATTGATTTTTTACCAAGCTTGAGTAGTCTTACAAGTTTTCCTTCTACGAAGACTAAAAGAGGAAACCAAGCACAGATTTGACCTTGATGCTGCTCAATTTGGCCTCTCAATTTGAACTTTGAACGTTACACAAAGAAATGTCAATCTGGGATAAAAGCAAATTATAATCTACACGCTATGATTATACAATAGAAACTTATTCTACAGAAGTATTTGACAGATAAATCAAGAGCTTTCTATGCAATAACACACTTGAGTATTTCAAATTCAGCTATGAGCAGACGACTCTGGGTAAAAAATAAAATAAATTCATAATAGCCCTGGCGTATTGTCATAATATCTACATTTACAAATTGCTGCTCTCTTTGTTTGTTTGTAAATTGTCACGCTACGGATATATTCCCTACGAAAAACGCCAACGCGGTGTGGTAGTGCTTTCCCTGTTACTCCATGCAAGATTGTCCTTGAATTACATTTTTTCACACACACTCTTTGGTCTTATGTAAATAATAAAAGATTCTGACTCAAAATCCTACATTTTTTTTCTTGCCTCTTTAACAGTCAAAACTGCAGCAGGTACTTAATCAATTTAAATAACCCCTTCTCTTCTTTGCAATTTCAACTCTGAACATCACAGCATAAAAAATGGAGATTAACAACAGCAATAAAATTCTCATCTATTTTGGCACAAGAGACAAATTTGTGCTCCTTCTGTGTTATCCATTTCATCTCACTCGCCCTCCTATGTTTTTGTTTGTAATTAGGCACTCAACCGGAAATAGGCTCTGGTACGTTAAAGAGTGCAACCGGGAAATGCTTGATGTGTGTTTGCCACTGAGCAGACAACTGGAAGAACTTGACTCCGTTCCATTCCATGCCATCAATGAAAACTGTAAAATCAATAAATTTATACAAAACTTGATTTACGTTTTAGAATCGTACCTTTGAGAGGAACATTGTGCGCCTTGGCTGAGCAAATCAGTCTGGTGACACCCTCGATGACTTGATTCTTTGCGTCAGATTCCTTTTCCTTCTCCTTTTTCTTTCCTAATCTCATCACAGCTATAAAAGAAAACTCGATTTTGAAGATCTGCGATTGATTTGAGAAAAGAAACTCACTTTTCTTTTTGCTCTCTTTGGTTGTGTAAGTCAGAGTGAAGAGATTGTTCGGAATCAGTCCACTGCCAGGCAACCGGCACACTTGCAAAGCGCGGAAGCTTGTCTTGAGGGTGCTTTTGACGCTCTCGAACTTATTCTTGGCCTGGTCTCCCTTTGCAGCCGCAGCAGAGTTGGCTACGGTTGGGTGCTGCCAGTAGTCGATCTGCAGCTCCATTGGCTCAGCGTTCGTCAAACTAAAAGTAATTTTGCATAAATTAAAATGGAATAATTCAATGCAAGAACGTGTTAATTAATTATGAAATTAAAAAAAGTTTATCAATGTTTGTGAAGAGAAAACTGTTCATATTGTTTAAAAGTCTGAATAGACCAATTTTCACTGTCAGTCCAGCATTATTTTTAGTCTTATATTGTCCCATGTGATAAAAGTGAACTTAATAAAAATCAATTTCCACCGGTTTTACTAACGTGACATTTCTTTTTTTATACATTTTTTACTAGTCACGTTATATTATTTACTGAATTATTTAAAATGTTTATATCTTTCCGTTTTAATTTTAATAAAAAAAAAATGTTACCTGGCAGATTGAATGTAGGACGTATTGACGTTGGGTGATGAGGGTGGTGTGGTTCTCTCCTTCCTTTCTGAAGGCATCCCTGAAGGGGACATGAGAGTGCCCGAAGGTGGTGAGCCTGAGGCCATCAGCACTGGTAACGACTCATCCATATCCAATGATAGAGACGTATGTCCGTTTTCTTGCGAGCCCAGACGTGTTTCCTGCAATTACTGAGTAAATAAGGTGGTTTTGCACAAAATTATAATCTCACATTGATAAATGGAATGAATATCTGGCACGACTCCTCATCAGAACTGAAATCGGAATGTATGCAATTGTTAATAAAGAAAAACTAGAAAAGCAGCGATTTTGTCACCTTCGTTCCTTATAGGTCACCATGGCTTCAGCAACAGGCAAAGCCACATAAGAGTTTGCAGCAACAAGGTAGCGCTGGATTCGGTTCATTGCCTCCTGGCATTCAATTTTCGAATCCAACCGCTCCGTCAACTCCTTCCAAGACTCCCCAGAGAATGAGGCGGCGTACATTGAGTCGAGACTTGACAGGTACCGCGCCAGAAAGCTGTTGTTGCCTGGAAGAGTAGATTTAAATTATTAGTATTATTACGTTGACAAAGATTCAGCTAAGAATTACCAAGGGGCACAATGAGGAACCTGAAGTGGTTTTGCCAGTCAAGAGGTTTTGACGACAGCAGCTCCACGTACTGTCGCATTATGGTGCTGACTAGGCTGTCAGATCCCATGATGAGCACTTTGACGGGCAATGGAGGTTTGGCACTACTGTTGCAGCTGTGAGGGAATATTTAATTAAAATAAATAAAACAGGTAGACAAAAATTTTAAATTTTAAATAGAATTATGTTTAAATAAATAAATTAATAAAACTAATTTATAATTTTATACAACCATAAAGAAAATACTATTTATTTATTTATAAATAAAAAAAACTATAAAAAACTTTTTACATGACAATTTCATGGTTATGCAATGATTAAACAAGCCCCCTTAGAAAAAAATAATAATTATTAACTGTTGAAAATTTTAAAAAATCTTAAATGATTCAAAATCAGTGCTTTTGATGCAAGTTGAAAAATGGAAGTTAAATTTACAATTTTTGAAGTTTGCTGATGAGACAGTTCATGGCGGCTCGAACGTCTGCCGTTCCAGACACGCTCAACACCCTCTGTTGTCTCTCGACTAGACGGGCAGCGAGATTTGCTGCGCCTTCAGGGACTAGTATCACATGATCAGGCAGGATGGCTTCGTCAAGCGGCATCAGTCGTGACAGCTGCTCCATCAAGGATTTTCGTGGTTGCTTTGGTGACAGGTTAGAATATTTGTTTATAATGAACTGAACGATTGGACTTACAGAGTTTTCATTGTGAAGAGGCCCGCCGAGAAGTTCTGGTGCAGAAATTGGCGTCCTCGGCACATCAGACTTCTTTGCCTTTGTGCCGGACGTGGTCCTGTCTCGTGCAAACAGCCGCGTCCTCCTGTCTCGATCTCCGTCCTAGATTATCAGTTTAGACTTGCTTGTGAAGAGAATTGAATTGTATTGCCTTTAGCTCTTTCGGAGCTTTTTCCAAGCTCTCCGACTGGGCCAGGGGAGCATGGGGTGGCGAAGATGCCATCGGTGGAGGGTCACTGTGCTCGTGGTCAGTCCAATTTTCAGGGTGCGAGTCCGAGTCTGCTTTCTTTGAACTCTCATCACTTTGTCTGTCAGATCCCCTCTCTGAAATAAAAAGATTTATTAGCTACAGTGGCAGTTTAGCTTATGAGATGGGATAAATTTAACTGAAAGCCACACACAAACTATTGAATGGATTTACACAGCACGTTGTCGTGAACACCAAAACAGAAAAATGTGCAGTTTCGGAGATCTACTCTGGCAATACCCACATTTATATTTTTCAACTGACCTTTTGAATTTAGGTTTTTTCATAAATATTTGCATTTTGTACAGAAGAGTAGAAGGTATAGACGGTATTAAGTTCTATCCATTTTTCTTTTTTAGCTCATACAGCAAATCAGTGATTGTTTAAACACAGAAAACACACAAACACCACTTAAAAGTACAGAGTTTGTGGGCGACATCAAACTAGACCGAACAAATATTATATACAAATTTAACGGCCAGTCAAGTTTACAGAGATAGCCACGCTCTGGTCCAATCAGTTGTCAATTAAATATTCAGAGTAAGTAAAATAAAGAAGAGAAAATTCAAACGGGACGCTTTTAAATAAAATCAGATCTTGACTGAGGGAAAACCATGCCAGAAAGAGAGATATCAGACCGGACTCCGGCAAAACTTTGATCTGTGTCCATGCTGACTATCGGGCCTACTACTCGGAGGGGACGCGTCCTCCTCGTCATGCTTTGGAAACAGAGTCAGAGAAAACCGTCTAAAGATATTCGGGGTTGAAAGCGACGCACCCCTGAACAGAGCTTTTGGTGCTGTGTTGCCAGGTGCTTGGTTTGGTGGTGGCGGTGGAGGCTTCTTGAAATTGCAAGAGGGGCTCTCACCAGCAATGGGCAGCACGTCGGGCTGCGCCAACGAGCGGCTGCTCGAGAAGAACGGTCGCAGCGACGGCTTCGGAGTGGACGAGATGCTCATCGTGTCCATCTCGGGGCCAGAGTCGCTCAGCTCCTCCAACTCGTCAAAGAGATCCGCAATGTCAGTGGGGTCCATGTCACCACCTGCAGGATACATATATGATCATCATCTCGTGAAAGTCCATTATTTGATTACTGACCTGAGAGCTTTTGCTCGATTTCTTCAGGGTCATTGTCCAGGTCTTCACTGATCCTGAACCTTTTGAGAAGGGAGATGAATTTCTGCTTCAGGTTCCGTTGCTAAAATTTGATTAAGTTAAAACTTGAAATTCTCAAAAAGGGGCTTGATTTTCATTACCCTGGCAGTGGAATTCTTTGCTCTGCTGGTCTTCCTGGGTCTGCGGGGCGCCAGCGAAGAGTCGTCCAGCATGGGTTCCGAGTCCGAGTTCTCCTCGTTACTGCTGAAGTCCTCGTCGTCGTCAGAAAAGTCTGCAGCCGCTCGATCTGTGGGCGAAAGGGGGGTACCGCGCGGAAGGCGGAGATGGGAAGCGGTTAGTCGGCGGAGAGACAAAAGGAGGGGCGCCAGCTGGGCGTCTGTGCCATGCGGCGGCGTTCAAATCGATCGTTTTTTGATTAGAGAGACATGCATGAACATTAGTGGCGAGAAAAAGGACCACAATTAGCAGACGTGAACGTAGCAGAGGGTGCGCCGAAAACCAAAGGATGTGTAAGTGAGGACAAGGATGTGGAGAACAGAGAAAGAATAGAAAGTAGAATAACAACAACTAATTAGGTATGGTAGGTGAACACAACAGGGCCTGTCTCCTAGCAAAGCCAATCTACTCGTCTTTCCGGGGTGGATTAGAAAGAAGACTTCAGTTTTTACGTTATTTTAACTGCAAAAGCAGGAAAGCAGCGTACATTAAAATTGAAAGCAAATTTTTTTATGCCCATTTGACAGCAACTGCAAGCAAGAAGCAGGAAAGCACGATTTTGCACAGCACATTTGATTTTCAAAAAAAAGTTGTATTGTCTTCGACTTAAGTTCAAAGGGGGGTTGGGCGGTGATTGGCATTGCTAAACAACGAAAATTGGTTATCCGATTCAGAAACCAAGAGTGTGTTTGCGACAAGGACAGGAGCCACCTTTGTGATGCATGTCACTGAAAATGAGTTTTGCTCCGAATAAGCACCTGAGGTGTCTGCCATGGCGACCCTTTTGTGTCGCACGCCCGGTTCGTCCTGATCCACGGGAGTACTGCTGATGTTCAGCACGGACAAGCGAGCGACGACGTCTCTTTTCTCCTTGCTCTCGCCATTGTACAACTCAAGGTCGACATCCATCGTCCTTTGGAGCGCCTGAAAAATAATATTTGATAACTAAAAATTTAAACAAAGACGTCATACAAATTGACATTAGAGTTCAAATCAACTCAAGCACAACATGAAGAATTGTGATGCCCCAAAAACATCAATAATTAAAAATTTATTTGGAAAAGAAATTAAATTTTGTAGTGGAATTTCACGATCGAGGGTTGATTCATGGTGATTTGAATTTAAAGTCAGCGTTTTTGTTTATTTTTTAACAAAAAGAGCAGGATATTGTTTTTCTTGAACAATAAACAACTCACAAAACCCATTAAGGAAAAGCTGACTTTAAATTCAAATTACAAAAAAAAAAAAAAAAATTGGAACTACGTCAAAATACAATTTAACCATTTTCTTTTTAATTCCGTCCTAGAATATTTCATTATATTTGAAACATTATTTTGCAGTGAAAAAGAAGATAAACATCTCCGTGCGTAATTCAATATGTGAGCATAAATCATGACGGTTGCGATTATGTCTGGGTCGTGACATAAGCGGTGTCACTTTAACCTTTGCTGTCACTTTGTGGAAGCTGCTAGGCTTCAGATTGAATTTCATTTGTGAATCTAACTCGATTTCATTTGAATCGAGCTGACAAGTTAAAAGGTCGGACCTGCGAGAGGTTGATGGTGCCCTCGGCGAGCGTTTTGAAGCCCAAAATCGTCCGGTTCTTGTATCTCTTGCGCCGCTGCAGCATGATGAGCAGTTGATTGGCCTCGTCCCTCTTGATGAAGTGCGGGTACTGTAAATTGGACACGATTAGCACCAATTAAACACATGTGAAAAAGCAGATGGTGGCGACGAAAGAAAGAATTCGCCAATTGAAAGCAATCGTGAGGAATTCCGATCTGACAGAATTAATTTAATGGGCCGTTCTGGCGCGGCTGTGGAAATATAAATAATGTGTCAAAGAAGAAGGAAAACATAATTTGGCGCCAAAATCAGGTCACGTTTTGGGGGTGCCGTATAAATCGCGGTTCGGCCGCTCTGTTTGGCACGCGGCCACGGAAGTAAACAAAGCGCGCCGAAGCTTGACTTGCGATGATTCATTCACCTGCAAGGAGAAGTTGAGATCCAGCTCCGTGTCCAGGAGTCCTCCCGGCGGCAGGAGCAGCTCGTTGGAGCGCAGGGTGCGTTTTGAGCTCTGCAACAAAAAAGATGCTTAGTTTCGCTCCACAGTTTACAAAAACGACAAATAAACAAAACGCCTCCGCATTAAGAAAACTCGCGTTCTCTTTGGCGTGCGCCGAGACCAACGTCGTCGGCGATAATCGCATTTCAGGTCGTCGCGTTTCACGATTAGCGAACGAGAGCTAATGATGCGAGTGACAGTCTCGGCTTCCGTCCTTGTATAATGGGTTTTCCATCTAACGCTTCTTTTCCTCTCAAAATGCAATTGATAGTGAATTAATAAACTCCAACGATAATTTAGGTTTGTAAAAAAAATATAATTCTTCTATCCTTTTGATTTAAGTTTTAATAAAAATAGGAAGTGCTTCTTGCAAAATAATTTTAAAATTTATATTTTTCTCATTATTATTGCATGTTTTGTAACTTGATTGTTATTCGTCCTATGCTAATCGAATGATGGCGCACTAAGGAAATAAATAAATGTGCACTCTTCTCTTGTTAACTGAATTGAAACTAAGCCAATTGAAGGTTCATAATATACATGATTATAGAGCGCAGTTTGCACGCTCGACAGAGCAGAGCGAGTTGTGAATAAATGCGGCCGACGCTGAGTGAGAAAATAAAACACTTGCACGTGTTGATCCACTGCAAGTGCAAAACCGATCGAACGACGCCAAATTATGAACGCCGTGTCATCGGCCGCTCGTTATTTGGTTTTTGACCTCGATGCCTCCGTCGATCGGAGATCATTAGAAATCGCCGCGGCGCTGCGCGTTTCTTCGGTGCGTGAAACACTTTCCGTATCATGAAAGCGAGTCGGCCTGGGAAGGATGATGCGTCTGCTTTTTGTTTCGGGCACGTCGATCCCTTTTCTTGTCAGCCGCGTGAAATTGGTTTCCCTGCGCGCCCGATTGTTACAACGAGACGGACTAGATTTCACACCTTGCGTTGCTCTTTGGTTCGCTGACCTTATGAATAACTGCAGCGGAGAACAAAATAATTAAAAAATATTAATTAACAAAATTATCGTTTTATTCTGTAAAATAGCGTGTAATATTTTGAAGCACATGCTGATTGAACATGGAAAAATTTCAAAGGGAAGTGTAACCAAATATTTTTATTTTATGCTTATGTTATTTAATTACTTCAGCTGATTCTTTTTACTACTGATGCATTTCTAAATGGTTAATTAAAACAGTGAAGTAATATTTCAGATACTTCACCATGTAAGTCAATGAAAACGATGCAAAATAACGATTTTTTGTGTTAAAATGTAAAAAAAAAAATCGTGCAATTTTAAGTTTCTTGCACTCTCTCTATTTCATGGATTTTTTTCATTTTTGTCTTCTTTTGTATGCACTAAATTCCTTCTCATGTATATTTTATGCATAGAATTGTATTTCTTTTACATACCGGCCTATATATTTTTTAATTTACTTATCTGTGGATTAATTTTTTTAACCACATTGCCTGCCCAGAGTCTTTTATCGCAGTAGCACTCCATAAGTCAAATATAGGACATTAGTATATAAAATTATATAATCTCTAACTTTTCATTATTACAAAAAATTGATAGTTTGAGAAAATTGATTTATTTATAAAGGAATAAAATTAATAAATTTACTCCCTATTAATTTAAATTAGTTTATTAATTTTCATATCGTCGGCACGACCATAATTGACTAAAGGAATTTCTCTCCATGCTTTCCATCACATTCCTTATGTCACACTCCATCCTATGCGATCTGACAACGCGCAAGAAGCAATCATAGTTCTGTTATGATTTTCTCTTTTAACTTTTTCCTATTAAACAATGAAATTTCCTACGTCACATATTCAATTGTGCGCTTAAAAGGCCACCGACCACTACATCCGTGGCGCGAGGGGGCCGATAAAAAGTCGCAATGTAATGACGGACGTTGTCAAATATTCATTCAGCAGTCGCGCATTTTCGATTGGATAATATAACAAAGATTTTCCTGTTACCCCTTTTACATAAGAGCAAACAAACAAGCCAGAAGAGTCACGCGAAATCAATACTGGTGGCGTCTGCTTATGCATCAAGTAAGAAGTAGTGGTGATTTTTGATATATTCTCTTTACCTGCATCTTGACCGCGATGATGATTGAGGAGATGTCGTTGCCCAACGACTTGAGCAGCACCAGCCGAGACAGAGTCAGCGAGCACAACCTGAAACAACAAATAAACCTGTGTCATTTCTCGGAAAGCAATAAAATCTAATTTATTATTGTAGCACGCGGATCGAGCCGCTGGAAACGCCGGCCGTTGTTGCAGGAAAAAACTCGCGGATCTGTTTGTTTGCAGCACGAAAGGCGATTTATTAACTTGCGATTTACGTCGATTCAGCGATAAAATAATGAGGGCAAATCAGCCGTGTAAGTTCTTTTACAATTTATTTATAAAACAAACTTCCAACGGTTTATGGAAGAACATAGAATTCGCAGAATTTTTCCTTGAAAACCAGAATAGAAAATAATTTGAATATTTTAAAGTTTGAAACAAGTCAAAATTTTTGAACCAGTTTAGAGGCAATGAATTTTATGAAAAGTGATTGTATAACTTTTTTTATTGATTCGATTCCTTGACCGTGATTTCAATATCAATGAAAACTCCCAACAGGCAAAAGTTTAGCAACTCTTCCGCGCACGCAATCACCCTGAATCGATCGCGAATTTGCATAATATTTCGGTGCGTGTCAAAATCAGTGCGCAGGTCGTAAAATGTTATTTTGACCATGTAACACACACACAAAGGTCAAAGACGACGGATTCGCAAACTTCGGAGAGGCTTAATCACATTTTGGCGATGGTGGATCAGTTCGAACTTGAAAAGACGAAATCTTGTGAATGCAGACGAGATCGCAAGTTTGGGTTGCAAAGAGTTTTGCTTTTAAGCAGATTAGATTGGCAAAACTTGTGGAAATTTACTTTATAGAAAGGAAAAGACCTTCCTAGAATTTTATGTGAAGAGCGTCTCAGATAATTACGAGGGTGGTAAATAATCAAATGAAGGTGCAGTTTAAAAAGGCACGCTTGCATCTTTTAACAGAGTCGTAAATATTCTCAATGAAGAGGCTGCGGGCGTGCAATAATTTAAAGGCTTCACGCGGAGTGCTTCTCGTTGTTTGAAAAGGTCGAGCAGCCGCAGAAAAAGTAAAACAAACATCTGGACGTGAATTTATTGCTTCTCATTTCGGGCCGTTAAATTGGAGAAATATGGCCTAATTGTGGGGCACACGAAGGCGTCGCTACTTGTTATTCACCTCTTAACTCACGAACCGCTGCAATTTTTTGGGACAATCTTCCTTGTGGCGCATCATGAGGGGACGGGAAAACCAAAATCTATATATTTACTTTGTACTTTCAATTTAAAATTATTTAAAAAGCATAAATATATCACCAGTATTTTAAAAGAATTTAAAAAAAATCAAATTTGAAAGTTTTCAGACAAAATTAATTAAAAACATTAAAATATCAAATATATTTGGTCGAATTTCCTGATCGAGGGTTGATTCATGGAGATTTGAATTTAAAATCAGCTTTTCCTCAATGGGATTAAATTTTTGAGTTGCTTATTGTTTAAGAAAAAAAAGCAATATCCTGCTCTACATGTTTCGGCTGCAGCCATAATTCATGAGCTGTGAAATCATTTTGACAAGAATTAGAACAAAAATCAATCTTTCAAAAATAATTTTCTTTCAAATTAACCAATTTTAATGACAAAATGTTCAAAGGTTACATTTTCACACAAAACAATTACTAACACAAAATTTGACAATATATGACTTAATTAAGTTATGAAAAATTAAGCTTTCGTTTGAAATAATTTTTTAATTTAAATCTTATAAATTTTTCCAGCTGCTTATAGATTTTGATCTGGTGAAGCAATAACTATTTAAATTTGGAAATATAGCAATTATAATAAATAAATTTTTCCCCTAAGCTTGAATTGAAATAGTTTTCCAGTTTGCCATGAAGCTCGTTGATGACGTCCTACTCGTCTGCATATGAATCGATTTTCACACAAGAGTCTTATTGATTGTTCGAGAAATACGTATTGTACAAGAGATTAAAGACGAAGCACTCGTGGGATTTCCCACCTGTCACTGAGTTTTCCTGAAAACTTCGCAGTTTGCTCTTGGAAATGTTTGAAATTCGCAATTGAAGCAAACTGGGTCCAAATAATTTATATTAGGGCCGAGACACATTTCGCAAGTCCCACTGACCGAATTTGCGCGGCGACCAAAACATGATTATTTCGGAGAACGGAGGCGACAAAACAGGCAGCGTCCGATCGATATACGCGGCGGCGGCCCTGGGCTGCTTTTTATTCTTTTATTACTCGGTGTGTACCTGTGGTAGGACTCGTCGATTTCGGCGCCGTTTCTGTGCGAGGGCGACCAGCGCTGCTGGCTGAAGCCGCGCAGACGGGGCAGTTTCAGGGTCGGACTGTGCAGGGCCGGCGCGGCGGCGGCCATGGTTCTTGCGGCGGCCACGCTGCTTTCCACCACCCGACTGCTGAGGCAGGCGAGGGTGCAGTGAGCGGTCGGGGGCGACGTCACGCCGCTACCCCCGCCGGCGCACCCCCACCTCACGAAACCATTTCAAGATTTCGGACTTTTCGCCGATTCCGTCCGTGTGCAGTGTGTGTTGTTGCCCGCTATCGATTGCAGGCAGAGGGTGTACGTGACTCACCCTCGCAGACGAGCACCCCGCCGGTGCTGCACGGGCTTTCCGCCCATTTCTCTCCGAGTGCACGTCTGGCCGCCGCAAAAGTAGTAGTTCCCTGGCCCCGCATTAGCATAACACACCAAGTTTTTGCCTCTCCCACGCATGCCGACATCCCCCAGGGGTGCAGCCGGTGTTTGTCCAAAAATTCCTCCATTCTGTTGCTTCATCTGCGCGGTTTCGAAAATAGCGATGGAGAAATCCAAGAAAGGAAACAGATTGCAAGAAAATAAAACTTTATAACCATTTCGGACCTGCGCTCCACAAGTTGCAAACTTTCGGAGAAAATTCAAATAAAAGAATTTCATTCTTCAAATAGTTGTTAGTGTGCGTTTTTTTCTAATTAGTATAGATTCCGGTAGATTCGTTGCTTTGTTTACCCTAATTTTCCGGGTTTTGATTGAATTTTTGAACCATATTAAAAATTTATTTCTCAAATCAAAGTTAAAATTTTGGTTTGTAATCTTTAAAGCCAAGTTGTTATCACAGTTTCAGTAAAACCACATAAAAACCTCTAAAAAAATTACTTTATTAACTTTTCTGAATTTTTTTATATGATTCTGACAAAACCCAAACATGTTGAAAAGAAATTTAATAACTTTTATTGTTATAAGAAAATTTAGAAGAAAATAATGCAACATTCAATTTTAATTGGAATAGCAAAATTAAGCAAATCCACATCATGGATTTTGCGCACATGATTGAATTTAAATGAAGAGACGATTTTCAATTTCATTTAACGACTTGCACTGCGTTCCTAGCTTTTCTCCAACAGTCGCTCTTTATATTCTCAAGTGCCGTGTCCGTTTGCTCAGACGTTATTGAAGATTGCAATCAAAATTGGCAATATCAAGCGTTTGTTCCTTGTCGAGAGAGTTGGAACTAAGATAATTGATTTTCGCCGAAATCAAATTCGTTCGTTACTCGCAGCCGCCTCCTTGCGAATCTAATTAGCGGAAAACTGCGCCGCGCACACTGAAGAATTCGGCAGATAGAAAAGCGGGAGCTGCTGCTGCTGCGCACGGGAAACTTTTTGCAACGAACAAAGTCGACGGCGCTGAGTGAAAAAAAAATGAAGCGCGCGGATATAATTAATGAAGTTTTCAATAAGTTCTCGCTAACAAGTTTAAAAATAAAACGAGAGTGTTCGGGATAAAGTTTTGCGTGTTATCAAAACACGGCTCCTTGAGAAAAGTTTGTTTTGATGAGCAGCTTATATATCAAATGAGGCGGTGTTGATTTATTTCGGAAAAAGTAATTAATTTCGTAGGAACGCTGCGGATTTTTAAGCTAAAATCCGCACTCGCATGACAAAGTGAATTGCGTGAGAGGGCAAAAGTGTCAGATGGAATGGAACTCGTCGCAAATTAAATCATAAATCACGGCGGCGGAATGCTAATCACCAGCGTCAAAATACTTTTTTTGTTTCGCTGCGGATGAAATTTAACTTTCACACGCGTCGCATGCCGGTGTTAAATAAATAAATGGCCCGGTGCTATTTCGGGAGCTGACCTTTTAAATTTAAAGGGTGGCACTCCAGGAATAGCAAAAGAGAATAAAGAGTGCTTATCGCGGGTCACGAGATCCACCGCGGCAACGCCGAATCAATTACTACGATCCGGTCGGCAGTGACGTCATCGCCTCTGACGTGATTCATTTCGAAAATTGAAGTTTGCATGTTGCGCCACGGCGGGTATAATGACAGGGCGCCCAGAATCGCGCGCGGATCAAATAATGGGGAGAGACGACGACAATTCCAGCTTGATGATAATTAGAGTGCAGCGCCTGTGCAAACGAAATGCGACCCACATCTTGCAAATTATAATGAGCACCCCGGCAGCGTTGACACAAGGAGGAAAGTGGAAAATCCATCTAGAACTTTCTGCGCGGCCAAAAACGTTGAAAACAATTTGTTCTCTCAAATAAATGTTTTCAACAATTGTATGTAAACAATGTGATGGAGACAAATAAACAATGATAAAAATTTATTAATAAAAAATCTGCTTTTGAGTATCACAATAAATTATTATGATACTCAAAAGCAGATTTTCTTCAACAGATTAGTTTAAGTGCTGAACAGTTTATAAACTTTGTAATCAAATTTTTAAGCAGCAATGCCAAAAGTTTCAGTCTTTTGTTCTTTGGACAAGTGTGAGAGTCATGGCGGCGTGCCAGAGATTAAAGTGTGTATTTCCTTTTGGAATTTCATACCCTCTAAATAAGTGTTTTGATATAATTGTGGCAATTAATTTTCCTTTTGAGCAAAAACCTTTGATTTTCTCCACAACAGCCATTGAAAATGAACGAGATTAATTACCACGCGAAACGCAAACAGAGCGAGAGGCACTTTGCGCGACTTCAAAGTGGCACTCGGCGGCCGTTTGTTTGTCATCCGAGAGAGAGAGAGAGCAATATTTCGCGTCGCGCCGCAGATTGGCTGGA